CGGAGAGCGGCGGACGTGTTAGGTGGCAATATGAATTTATGATCATGGCGAATTAAATGCGTTAAAGTCGAACGTGATTCGGGGAAATACGCATCGGAATTTAATTAAGCTTCTGCACTTGGCTGCTCATTTCGTTTCGTCGTTCAACCTGTTAATGTCACACTGCTGGGCACAGGTATCTTATAGTCCACATGGTTCAAGACCAACATTGAAGCTCCAGTGTTGGTAGACTATCGTTACTAAAATCTATACTAATTTATAAAGTAGAAGTGTTTGTTTGAACGCGGTTATCTCAAGAACTACTTATCCGAATTGAGATTTTTTTTTTGTTGGTCAGAGCATTTATCGAGGAAGGTTATAGCAAAGAAACAGTGGGAAATGTGGAAAAAACGGGAAAAATTATCAATCTTTGAGAGTTTTCGTTGGGTGCGTTGCGAAAATAATTCAAGAAACCGTAAACTATGTATGAAAGAATTGTTCTTCTTTAAACGGTGTAAAACATCATTCAAGTAATTAGACAAAGTATTTCATATCAAAAGAGCGATTGTATATTCTATTTCGGACATCAAACCCATTGTATTCTATTCCATCATTCTCACAAAATGAAATACCTATGTAATCCAATATTAGAATGAAGGATATTCAAAACAAACAGTAGCCTAACTATTCTAAACAAAGCGACTAGATTTAGGCATAAACGGAACTAGATATAACAGAATTAACCTACATGTATTCAAACTTCTATTATTTACCTGGAACATGTCAGAAATAGACAGTAGATATCGACAAAATGTTGGTTAAACTTAATGTATTATTAAAATAATACAATGGTTTAGTTTCATTAAGTAAAGCTTAAGTTAGGCAGAGCATTTGTTTAATCCTTGTATACTGTTCTCATCTTTTATTTAAACAAACGCAAAAGAAACTAGGAATTAGAGGGAAAAATAAAAGGAAGCAAATAGAATAATTCATTTTAGTAACTTTTTGTCGTCTCGTTAGGCTTTCTAGATGAAATTTAAGTCGTCTCTAAGTGCCTTCTTCAAGCAGATCCGGCCGCGACAAAAGGGATCTACAGACCCAAGGATGGCGGGTAAGAAATTTTAATTGGCCTCCAAATTAAACTCATACAACTCGCAAAAAAATTGTTTGTTTACTATGAGTATAGCGCTAGAATCTATACTAATAATAAAAAGGTAAAGAGTTAGTTTCAACGCGCTAATCAGGTACTACTGGTTCAAATTAAGAAATTATATTTATGTCAGATTTATCGAGGAAGGGTTTAAATAACCACACGCTCCAACCAACATGAGAGAAGAAACGGTTCAAGATACCCAAAAAAAATATATTAAACAATTATTCTTCTGTAAATAATCTTTAAGAAATCCCCGATAGTAGAAGTCCTAACTTGTAACATTACTCACAATAACCTTTTTTATGGTGATCAAATTTAGTCGAAATAATGCATATGGCATGGCGTTTACTAGGTCAGGTAGTACACATATAAAAGCATAATTCAAAAATCAAATACTTCTAGTTTGCGCGCTCAACTCCTCAAGAATTTTAGTTTAATAATAGTTCCTTTGTCTATTAATCAATACAAATTTATTTATAACTGAATGATGATAGTATATATAAATAGTAAAATTAGTTATAATGGGCATGCAGGAGGTACTCTCGGAACCAATTCTCTTTTTCCATATCGACATTGACGACCGAAAAATTATATCATATTTTTCGGTCGTTCTGACTCTTTTATTGTGTTTAAGGAACTCATGATGACGATATAGAAAAGTAATTAGTCTTGGAACGTTAGGTCGTCTCAAAAATTCCACGATCTATAAAATTCCTTCCGATATGCCACACTCGAGACACGCCGTTTAATACGAAATTGCGACTTTCCCAGAATCTTCTAGCTACATATTTTAAAAGTCGACGTGATTTATTAATGTTCGTAAACGTCATTTAGCTCAGATCGGCGAAGATATTTGCGTCACATTCAGGACACGTCAATGTTCGTTTATCGTTTTTTAAATAACATCGCTTTTGTTAACCACTCGCTAAGATATGTACTAAATAAAAATAAGTTTATTTATTTAAGTACTCATAAAAAGGAAATCTTCAAAATGAAAAATGTATTAGAAGCTGAAAAATACTTTAACGGCTTAAACGCGAATGTATTTACTTATTTGAAAATTGTTTCAACTATGGCCCGACGTTTCATATATATTTCGCGTTTCAAACGGTTAAATTGTTTCATTTAATATTGTACTACTCGCGTAAACTACAGACAGTATTTATAGAAGGTTTGTTAATTTGTAAGAAGAATGGAGAGCCAATTCAATGTAGGAAAGTAGTTTTATCATTGAAGGAATATTTAATTTTCATTTTAGAGTAGTTAGAATTAACTGCTTTGAATGTTAATATTGAAAATGCATTAACGCACTAAACGAAAGAATGCTATGGATTCGGTTCGAGTCCCGTCCATGTCGTATTTTGTTTTTTTAAATCTATTTATTATCATCTATTTTGAATTTAATTGTTTGACGCATTATGACTAAAGTGCAAACATAATCTCATCACATTCATAGCCAACTTATCTAAGCAAGCTCTCTATCTATTTAATTAGTTAGCTCCAAATGTATAAAACTTGTCTTAATTAATTAATATATTACCAATGACTTCGTGTAAATGAATTTTCTTTCATGCGATAACTTTAATGTAGTTCTGTTTGAATCGCTCCCAATCGATGCGCCTCGAAACAAACTTGGAAAAATAAAGTTTCAATATTGCTAAATAAAATATAAATGGCAAAAGTTTTACATTTGAAGGACGAACGGTAAAGATACACTTTGTTAATATTCGTAAAGAGATTGCTTCGAACTAGGTTATGTTACAACGTTTATAAAACATTAAATAAAATAGTCACAACAATATAATTGTTTAATAACGCTCTCAGTGAATACTGTCTCTAGTTCACGCGAGTAGTACCCACCTAAAAACACTTTAACGGTTTAAAACGCGATGTAAGTATAATAGTTAAATTTATTTGGAAATTATTTTAACTACGGCCTTTCGGATGATTTACAGTCACGACGTAACTATCCATGGCTGCTACCAAATAAGTTTAACTAATATAAATCGCGTTTTAAACCGTTAAAGTGTTTTCTGTAAATGTGTCTCAGGGATTAAAGTATTACTCAGCTTTCTATAAATCGGAACAGATACGAATGCGTCTGCCTTGTTCCTCAAATAGTTTAGTGATTCTAATTTACTTCCTATTAGTACCAAGGAGACTCTTTATTATTTCTTTATGCAAAATATAAAACTATATTCGAAACGTCGACAACAATAATACGAAAACGCTGAACCGATGTCGCGATTTTCGCGTTCATTTTATGTAAATTGTGAAAACGCTCTTCTCGCTCGATTTGTGAGGCTTCGGCTAATCTTCCGCCAGTCGACTACAATTTAATCAAAGTAAACAACGCGGGTCTCTGTAATTTATCTAGATTATTTCGTGGCGAGCGATAGTAATCGACTTTTTTCTCCATCTGTTGAGAATTCCCGAGTCGCGTAACGTCTCCAATCTCGGCGTTATAAACATGAGTGTTACTCGTAAATAAATGACAAACATACTATAAAGCTATTTCGCTTATTGAAATAATCGTTATGTCCGATGCTAAAAAATAACAGTTGATCCATTCATTGGATGCAGTAATACATTTGAAGTTACGATTAATGGACAGTGAACTATAAAATAAAGCGTCACGGGCGCAATAAATTGACCATTTTAAATTGTTCTTGATTAATTTTACACGTTTTATTGTGATAAATGATATTCCTGTATACCTTTTTTGCATAAAAAAGTAAAACCCCTATTTTAAGCACGGAGCTGACACTTATATGTGCCTGCTTTACTAATCAATTTACAAGTAGTCAAACCCAAGGCCTGTTCAGATTAACGCAAAGCTAGGCTTGTGCTCAACATAGCCTGTGAAGCGGTGTGAGGAGTAAGACATTTAAGGTAAAAATGTATTGTTTAATGAAAATAACACAAGCGATAATATGCTATCGTTAATGAAGAACTGAAATGTTTATAAGTTTTATCACAACCCCGAAGCAAAAACAACGTTTCCAACTGTTGTTTTCCATTACAATTTTCCCATGCAATTTTAAGTAGCCAGGAGAATTAAAATTGTAAAAGTAAACGAAGTGAAATATGAAAACATGCGTATGAAAATGAAACTCAGATTTTCCTTTAAAGCACGAAGCGATCGAGATGTTCAATTTAACAACTGAATATGGACAGAACATTTTTTTTATTTAAATAAAACACTTTTTGACGATTTAAACTTGAACCGAATACGTTTTAAATAAATTTCATGTTTTAAACGGTTAAAAATTAAACACCGTCTATAATTAACGCGAGTAGTACACATTCAATAAAACAACTTAACGGTTCAAAACGCGAAATATATTAATTTATCTGCAAAGCATGCGAAATGTCGGGCCGTAGTTGGAATATTTTTTAAATAAGTTTAGCGAATATAGTTCGCGTTTTAAACCGTTAGTGTTTTTTTTAAAACAGTTAATAATTGTTATATTTAAATGTGCACTACTCGCGTAAACCACAACCAATGTTTTTATTCTAGGTAAGTAATAATTTCTCATATATTTACTTAAGCAGTCTAGTTCACTACCTCAATGCATTTGCATAATTTCATTAAAGGCTAGTCTACATTGGTCAAACATTAAAATTAAGTGTTATAAATAATTTGATATTTTGGTTAAAATGATTGATTGATAATACCACAACAAGCCAATTTATTTATTGCCAACTGATTGATTTTGTGTTTACAATAAAAATACTGGGAGTACTAGAGACTATTCTTATAAACATGACCCCCTCCCTCGCCGTTGGTACCGAGAGCACCATACTATTTATAATATAGCGAGGACTGGCATAAGCTATTAACTAAATTAACAAAGCCCTAACTTACCTTTTTTCCATCTAATTCATGTGTTCCTTGAGCTAATACTTTGTCTACACTAGCGGGGTCGCCAAATGTGATGAACCCGAATCCCCTGAAACAAAGATACACGTACAGTTAATAAACTTGCAAAAAACTTTAACTATAAAATGTGTAACACTCAAACTAATTAAACATGATTATTAAAATAAAACGTGATATCATTTTTAGTATACGACTAAGAAATAAATAGTTGCCCCCCCCCCCCCATGGGTTAATTATTCATTTTCGGATACTTCAAATACTAAAAGATTTGACTTTAACATTAAGGACACCCTTCAAATACCGCGCCCCCCACCCCTAGTTCTTTACTACGAGTACTGCAAAGCATCAGTAACATCGGGCATTATTTAAATAACATAAACATAATTATGTTGCGTTTTATGCCGTTAAATATGGTGTATTTAAATATTATTTCTACGTCATTTTATTCTCTATGTAAGAAAAAGTAACAAAGTAAGTGCAACACTTATTACATCTTATATAAGAGACTGGGTTTATAAAATAAATTCGAACGCAGTCTAAGAAGTCTACAGACTCACTGATTGCGATGTACTCGCTACATCCGACGCTACGTGAAGTGTGCAGTGTACACGCTCCTTAATAACGTTGTATTTATTTTGTTCACTTACTCGACTTTAACGCGACGATTTAAGCGGTGCGAGTGTGTGTACTGAATTATAATGCAGACCTCGAATTATTCTTATCTTTATTTGGAGTGAAGGGGCATAATGAAAACTCTTTGCAATTCACGAATGGATTTCTTCTTCCACCGATAATCAGAACATATAAATGACATTATTATAAATTGTATAATTATGTTAGTCCTCAATTAAACACTGTTAGCTTTAAAACGTTAAGCTAACAGTGAATGATATACATATCTTTATTCTTTTATTTTTATTTATTATCATAGTTTTGTTGACTATAATTAATTAATTAGTGTGTAGTTTACGCGAGTAGTACACGATTAAATAAAACACTTTAACGGTTTAAAACGCAATATAAAATAGTTAAACTCTGAGTCTCCCCGTGACCACAGCTACTGCAAAGCATGCGAATCATTGGGCCGTAGTTAAAATAAGTTTAACTAATATATATAAGTGTTTTATTTTGATATAAATCATATGATGTACTAAACACTGACCAAAAGAATGTAACCCATAGTGTTTTAGCTTTAATTAACGTTTTTAACATCTCAGTAAAATGTAAGTAATTTTATCAAAGGTCAACTTGACCGCTACTGAAGTTACTTTAAAATTACAATTTAAAATAAACTAGCTTTCCTCAGTGATTTCAAACGTATTTGGTACTCATAAATATTCAGTAATTCCGGTCTATGCAGATCTCTTTGTACTGCTGAAAATGAAATAGAGAGTACTCTAACCCTAAAGGAGTGGGCATATACGTAAACGACTATAGAGATCGGTAGCGGTTGTCTTAAAGGAATCGTAATAATATATTTAGTTAGATACGAGTAGTATTTTTTCTTAAGTATAAAAATATTTAAGATTGTAAACATGTATTTTATTCATAAATGTCGCACAGTCACAAATCATAAAAAAAAAAAAAAAAATCTTAGTGTTTATAATAGTAAATTGATCCACAATTGTTTTTCATTACTTATGCCAGACATATTTTATATTTTTTTCTTGAATTTTTTACATTCCCGCACCCGCTTCTTACTTGGTCATAGTCTTACACGTTCCATTTTATACCAAATCCGTATTACGGCAGTTGTCAATGAATATTTCAAATATCGCGACTATAATCGTTTTTCTATTTAAAATTTGGTAATGACATTTCATGTATTTTCAGTTAGTTTGACAAACACATCATACTGCCCAAGATAATAATTTAATTTCTATTTCGTTCAAAGCTAAGACGCGTTATGCCAGGATAATGTATCTCACTTAGTAATTTGAAACAAGCAAATTGAATAATAACGGCGATTTTCAGTAAGTCCCGTTGGCCGCGCGCGAGCGATAAATAATAAAAAGCCTTCCGCACTTTAGGACTTGCAAAAATCACAATTTATAGTGCATTTTAATTTCACTTAGCCGATCCATATTTTACATGTGGCGGCGTGCCCGAGCGGGCTCCGGACTCGAATTAATACTAAATTGAAATTGTAAAAATGGAAATACAATTTTCTCATTGTATCTCACCCGCTCTACCTTGCCAGGATTATCTTACTAACAATATTACCAAGCGCTTTAAATTCCCGACGAATTTTCATAATACATATTCTACATCTTATCTACTGCTCAAACATATATAATCGTTATTTGAATTTTCGATTTTTTGCTTCACATTGATCTAGTACATATAAAGTATGAAAGCGTGAGTAGCTTAAACAATTAAATTAAAGGTTATGAAAATTTAAAAATGTTGCTTTAATTTTTTTTATTCCAATTCAAGCCATATTTTAAACATATATTAAATTTCAGTATGACGTATATTCTTAAAATTAGATAATTATTGATAATTACGTGTAATGTGATATCTTTGCTTAGTAAACTAATATGTATTGTTACCGCATTATCTTTCGGTAAGTAGTAAGTCTACATCTGCATGTAGACGATATCTTTAAGTAGTATGATTATTTATTACCCTCGAAAATCCAGATTGCAAGTATCATAGCATATGAAACAAGACTTGGCTCGACACCAATGTATGAAATAGCTTAACAAGGGTTTTATCTAAATATAATGAAAACAAGGCATATTGTTTTAATAAATTGTATTTAATAAACATTATAGCTGTATAATTTCTTAAAAAATAACCTTCACCGGCTTAAAACACGAAATATGTTAATTCAACTTATTTACAAATTAGTTTTAACTACGGCCCGACGTTTTAGATGCTTTCTAGCAGCCGCGATCACGGGGAGACTGTGTATATACATGTACTACTCACGTAAACTACAGACAGTATTTAATTTCTTTAATGTAATAAAAAAAACACATTACACTCCAATGGGAATCGACTCGCTATCCTTTCAATATAATAGAATTCATGGCAGTAACGAACGGTGACGATTATATTTAAATAGACAAAGCTTATTTCCACGATATAACTGTATCAAAGGCCATCTCCTGTAACCGAGCTCCTTTATTTATAGCCGACTCTTTGATAACAGTGCCCACACCTTTCTCTGAAGACAGCAAAACCACTACGAGCGTCAGCCCCGGGTCACCATCGGAGGCTACAATTTAAATACACAGGAAGTAAATTGGTACCCTCACCTCACAATAGCGCTTTTTACTTTTTTCACGGCGACCTCGAACCATCGGACCGCTCTAGATAATCCACTCGACTATTGTGTTCGGACGGAACTCGAAGAAAATAAATATAGGACCGGCTCGAGGTAAAACCCTAAACCGCAACGTCACGAACAAATAGCGGTAACTCCCGTATTCATGGCTCATGGCTGCAGCCCCGGGTAGAAACCGATAGCAATTACTGGCGGAATTAATATCACGCCCCAAATGTTGCTCGCACATTTATACGTATCGAGTGCAATATTGTCTCCTTTATTAGTTGCCGGGACAAATGCTGCCGCCGTCGTAATTCTACCCTCATTTCGCTCTTCGATCGCCGTCTTTCTTATTTAATCTTGACGATAATTAATAATATCTCTTATGACCGGGACCGGTGTGCTGCCCACATAAAATGAATTAACGCGATGGCTAAACAAATAGTATGACAATGCTTATATTCGCTTTGCTGATATTCAAGAGGGTAGACGCAGGATTGTGAGTATATATGACAAACCGTAGTGTTTAATAGAAAAATTTGAAAGACATATTTCTTAGTTTCTTTTGGGGATTTCTAGACTTAACATGCTAACCATACGAACTAAAGACTTGAATAACTGTAGGACTACGTACTCCACCCCTTAATTGTTTTACGAAAGACAAATAATAATAGTCTACAATAAGCATTTATCCATCTATCAGTGGTCGTCAGAATGAACCCTTAAATGCTCCTCAACGCGCAAGGATGATAACTTCGTATATCTCGACGAAATTAAGTTATCCAATAATTAATCTAAATGGACCGTACAGCCGAATGGTTCAAAACAATCAGCTCTGCCGCAAAATACGCGCATTAAATGAAGTGAATGGCTGCCTCCAGGGATCCCTGATAAATTAAATTGATTAGAATCCCGTTCGATGTTGCCCGTCGATGTTGTACTGTGAAAAATAACTTGGAATGAAAAATCGGGTATCTAGTCACTCTTGATCTGTGATAATTACACGTTCGTTAATTTTCTTGCTGTATTAGCTTCAATGGAACACAGGTTTGTTTGCTGAAAAATCTCTTCTTACCTAATAGTGAGTTTAATTTCTTATTAGTTTGAGTGTCGAGCAAAAGTTTTTTCAACAAAATTTTTGAAATAACTATATGCCAAAGACAAAGTCAAAAATCATTTATTCACGTAGGTATCTTGGTACACTTGTGAACGTCACATCAGTTACGATCAGAACGTCATTTTCAGGGTAAAAAAAAACACTAGGAGTACTTAATATTTTTTTGTTAGAGAAACACACTGTGGAAATATCAATTCGTATTCTATGAAATCATAAATTAAAAATCGAAAAAAATAACGTCATGGGGAGGACTTGAATCGGCATCTACAGTGTTCCATGCTGTTGCTCTAATAAAAAAAAACAAGTTATATTATATATATATAGTTAGGTTTTAAATGTTGAAGATGCTAAGTCGTAGTTACATGCAATTAACGATTATAGCAGCATTTAAAACCGTCAATTAACGTTTTATATATTTGATAAAACCGCTTTTAACTTTAGGCACTGGTCTGTAGATTAAAAATTTTAAAGACCAGCTTGCTTAGAGTTTTGCTGACGTTTTATCTGAAAAGGCGTTTATTCTATGCAACCTTTATCTATGGCTTTAGCGACTCAATGCCTCCGCTAGGTGAGCCTTAAACAGCGATTAAAATTTAAGCCCATTTAGAAGGTTTAATCTCATCGCTGCAACGCTCCACTGCATTTTGTGACCCGACGTAAATAAAAGACAATAGATACT